TCCAAAAACTTTGCATAGCGATGTTTCCAAAAAACAAAAATATTCCTCATAAATTCAAAAAAAAATGTCCAATCAGTCTGATCAATATCATTTTCTTACCACACCAACACTGAAACTGAATAATTGTCTTTGTAGAACAGTGAACAGTGCGAGGCGAAGCCGAGCTATGGACCGTTACAAATCAGAGCGAGGCGAGGCGGCCGGAGCCGAGCGTATTTGTCATCAAACACAAAAAATGATAATAAAATTTAAAAAATCTTATGTGCAAATTTGGATTGAACAAGCTGAAAAGAAATTTTCAAAAAAAGGCATTTAATATAGGTGAAAAACAAAAATATTCTTCCCAAATTCAAAAAAAATTGTCAATTCAGTCTGCTCAATATTATGTTCTTACATTACCAAAACTGAAACTAAGAAATTGTCTTTGTGGAACAGTGATCAGTGCGAGGCGAAGCCGAGCTATGGACCGCGACAAATCAGAGTGAGGCGAGGCGGCGAAGCCGCCGGAGCCGAGCGTATGTTTCATCAAAACCAAAAAGTGATAACAGTATTTAAAATCTTATGTGAATTATGTGCAGATCTGGATGCAACAAGTTGAAGAGAAATTTTCAAAAAAGTCACTTTGTATAGGTGATGTTTTCATAAACAATATTCCTCACAAATTCAAAAAAATATCAATTCAGTCTGCTTAATAGCATTTTCTTACCACACCAAAACGGAAACTGAGAAATTGTCTTTGTTGAACAGCGAACAGTGCGAGACGCAGCCGAGCTATGCACCGTTACAAATCAGAGCGAGGCGAGAGCCGCCGGAGCCCAGCGTACATATGTCTCATCAAAACCAAAAAGTGTTCCCAAAATTAAAAAATCTTATGTGCAGACCGGGATTCGACAAGATAAGTTTTTCTAATTTTGCGAACACTTTTTGGGTATGATGAGACATACTCGCCTCGCTCCGATTTGTTACGGTCCATAGCTCGGCTTCGCCTCGCACTGTTCACTGTTCAACAAAGATAATTTCTCAGTTTCAGTTTTGGTACAGTATGAAAATTACATTGAGCAGAGTAAATTGACCATTTTTTCAAAATTTCAAATTGTCTTTGTTCAAACCTCATAGTGCGTGTTGACATCTGACAAACGAAAAACATAAATCATTTTAGACCATTTCTTGCAGTAGTGTGGTAAAATGAAAAGTGCGCGGTAGGTAGGTTCATCTAATTAAATTGTGCAAAAATCGTATTGCGCCGAACATAGATTACATCTCCAAAAATTAATAAACAAACGTATAATACCCCTCTTTTTGGCGATATCTGTGCAAAATATACTCACTCTAGCGCAGTTTTGAAATGCGAAGCATTTTTACCAACCTATGTAATGAGATTGACCATTGACATATCGATGCTTTTTTGAACCGAATCAAATTTCTTTTCCCGTTTTAGAAAATTGTAACAAACATTAAGCAAAAAAATAACAAAAAAAAATAAAAAAAATAAAAAATTAAAAAAAAATTTAAAAAATGGACAAACGGTAAACCACATAAAGAAACAAAAAAATAATAAAATAATTTTAAAAAAATATAAAAAAAATTTTAAAAAAAATTTTTAAAAAATTCTATACGGTAAACAACAAAAAAAGGCGTACGTTAATTAAACGGCGCCGATAGGTCCGTAAGGACCTATCTAGTTCCCCTCCGGGATCGAAAAGCCGAAGCGAAGCTTCGGCTTTTCGATCCTTAAATAGTAAAGTCAGGCAAGTACTCGATTTTCATTTTTAATTTCGTTATTTTACTACCGATTCGGTGAAAATTTTATCGTAGCTTTTTAAGCGATTTCGCATCGATTCTGAGAATTTCGCTACTGGGAAATTCTCCTGAGCGGCTGGGGAGCATCGTCGTCGAGGTGCGCGGGCGGATAAAAATTCGCCGTAGCTATACGGTCGGGTTAGGGCGTCGAGGCGCCGGCGCGGGGGGGTAGGGGTAGTTGGGGCAACTTTCGGTAAGGTTAAGAAAATTCCTCCGGCGACCTACGGGGTAGCTGCCATAAGAAGCGAAAAAATCGAAAATTTTAGAAAAAAATTCGTAACTCGAAAACGGCGCCGGAACTTCGATTCGCGCTTTCTGAGCCGTCGCGCGACGCGGAGGAGCGTCTTTTGCCGCGGTGCCATTAAAAGTGACACCCCGGTTTGGAAACGGCGCGACCCGGAGGGTCGCTCTCGAAAAGGTGGTTTTTCGCATTTTCCAACTTTGACGCCTTCTACAGGCCGAACCGTTAGAGTTAGAGCAAAACGTACAATTGCGCGATTGTAGATCTCGACGAGATCTACGAGACGAGGGGTCGCGGGTCGCCCTACCCCCCCCCGGAGGGGGGTGAGAGGTGAAAAACCGGAGATTTTGAATAGCGCGTTCCGGCGAAGAGATACGGGCTCGAAATCGGATTCGATACCTGCGGCCAAGTTTTCTTTTTCTTTTTCCGTTTACCTCGAGGAGGTAACTCGGACGACGGCGCCGTGGTAAATTTTCTCCCGAAGGTCTGCAAAAGTCACGTGACCGCTTCGTTTTGTTTTTCGCCTACATTAAGCGCCGAAGATTGCCGAACGCGCCGTACTATCTTTTTAATTAATTGCGAGTTTAATTTTGGACGGAGAATTTCGGTAGAGGTCTCAAAAATTCGAGAAAACTACGAGGAATGTGTTAACATCGGTTTCGGGACGGTGCGTGATCGATTTGTGTTCGAATTTAAGTGATAAAGTTTACGTGTCGGTTAACTGTCAAACGGATTCCGTCATGTTTTAAAAGTGCTCTTAAACCGAAATTAACGTATTAAAATGAACGGTAAGTGTTTGAAATTGATTATTATAAACTTTAAAAGTGCTTCGAATAAGTGTGGAGTAAATAAAGTGTGTTTAAATAATTTGCTAATTTACGTATTCTCGTCGTACTTATAGTGGTTTAAAAGAAGTGATAAAGAAAGTCCCGGTAGCTTAGCGGTAAGCAGTTAGGACTTGGAATTTGAAGATCACGCGTTCGAACCCGAGCGCGTGCCCGTTTTTTTTGTATTAATTATTTTTTTTATTTTGTATTAATTATAATTATAATGTTACAATGGGAAAGTTGTTGCTGAAGATTTAATTTATATGTAGGGAATTGCATTTTGGCCATACCTTGAAATTTGAAGCCGTTAGAAAGGTTTTTAGGTTAAAGTTTTCGTAGACGCGCAAGTTTTTCGGTTATAATTTTTTTAAGAGACTTGCCATACGGGTACGTTCAATGGGGAATATTTAGCTCGAATTATTAGCTATCGTACGCACCGCTCCCCGTCCGAAACGATCGAAAAATAAAGGTCCAGGAAATTTTTTTGTAAAAAAAAAAAAACCGTTAGGTCGCGTATTTACCAATTTTCTTTTATAATTTTTAAACGGTAATTCGTAGGTACGTACTTACAATGGGAAAAATTTAGCATAATTAGTTCTCTCTTTAAATTGACCTCTCCGAAGAAAATCGAAATCGTTTTAAGCCCGTGGCGAGGGGTTAAATTTTTTAAAAATTTCCCATAACAAAAACCAGAGAGTCACGTTGGAATTTAAATCCGCTCCTTAAATAAGAAACTCGGGCAACAACTCGATTTTCATTTTTAATTTAATTAAAATAGATTCGATTTTGATGCAAATTTTATGAGACCTTTTTGAGACGATTTCGAATCGATTCCGAGAATTTCGCTACTGGGAAATTCTCCTGAGCGGCTGGAGAGCATCGTCGTGGAGGTGCGCGGGCTCGGATAAAAATTCGCCTTGGCTATACGGTTTGAGTGAGGACGTCGAGGCGCCGGCTAAGGTAGGTAAGGATAGTTGGGGCAACTTTCGATGGGGTTAAGAAATTTCCCCCGGCACCCGTCGGGGTAGCTGCCATAAGAAGCGAAAAAGTCGAAAATTTTAGAAAAAAATTCGAAACTCGAAAACGTTACCGAAATTCCCCTTGCGGTTTTCCGGTGATCGAGGGGGACGGGGAGGAGCGTAATCGTGCCGCGGTAGCATCCCGGGGAAAAGTCGAATTTGGAAACGGCGCGACCCGGAGGGTCGCTCTCGAAAAGGTGGTTTTTCGCATTTTCCAACTTTGACGCTTTCCGCAGGCCGAGCCGTTAGAGTTAGAGCAAAACGTACAATTGCGCGATTGTAGATCTCGACGAGATCTACGAGACGAGGGGTCGCGGGTCGCCCTACCACCCCCCGGAGGGGGGTGAGTGGTGAAAAACGGGAGTTTTTGAATAGCGCGTTACGGCGAAGAGATACGGGGTCGGAATCGGCTTCGATACATGCGGGCAAGTTTTCTCTTTCTTTTTCCGTTTAGCTCGAGGAGGTAACTCGGACGACGGCGCCGTGGTAAATTTTCTCCCGAAGGTTTAAACAAATTTTCCCCTGTAAAAAATTGGAGCTTTTCGGGAGGGACTAGATCACAATAAAACGGACGTTTGTCCAATAATTTTATTGAAAATGTAGAGATTTTGTGCAAGTTTTTTGACATTTTCAAATTCGAAGAGGTTCTGAATTGTTGAATAGAATAGGTTTACCGTTTACCTATCTTTATCTATATAAAACACTAATTACCTACCTGATGTCTATAATTGCGTTTAAAATTTTCTCGTCACAAGCGGGCCTTAGATAAAGAAAAAAAATATTAAGATGTGCTTCCTTATCGACGTGAATATGTGTCAAAAAAAATTGAAGAGATAATTTAGCGGTAAAGAACACGTGCTCTTGTAACTGTGCACAATCATTAGATATTGTATTTCTTCACAAAAGCCGCCGCCGCCGCTTCGGCAGCATTTGAGATAATGTTGAGATAAACACCTGCAGATACTACAAGTATTTAAAGGGTGAAATGTTATTTTTTCGAGTTAGTTCAAGTGCAGGTTTCAAACCATAAAGATCGTAAGTATAACACTTTACCGATTTGCATTTTTATATTTCAAAATTAGTTTTTCTGAATTTGTTGTAATTAATAAAGTAGGTATGTCATTTAATCAACGGTAAACCTGGTCTCCTAGGTATTATGTTAACGTATTTTTTTTGTATTTTTCAGAACATACAATGTCTGTCGTGTCAGGTAATACATAATTGTAATTGTAAAAAATAAAATAGCTAATACTTTTGTATATTTCTTTTAGAAAATGAAATTAGAGTAGTTGAGGAGGTGGTTGCCGAGGTCCATCGGGACGCCGAAAGCGTCGACCCGAAGACGGATGTGTAAGTTAACGACAGAATCAAATTTATATTAAGTACATAAGCATTTCTATTTATACAAGTGTTTCTTACAATTTTTCTTTCTGTAGAACTCAGAACAATAAAAGTAGACGGGGACGTGGAAGATCCCGGGGACGTGGAAGATCCCAGGGACGTGGACGGAATTGGGATCGGGGACGTGGACGGTATCGGAGAAGTGGACGGGATCGGGGACGAGGGCCACGACGACATCGTGGTCGAGAAGAAACAACGGTAAGATTTTAAAAAAATAAATTTTAAAATCACTAACACGTCAGCAAAAGCTGGTAGTTACAAGATTGATTGATTGCTTCTGTAAAATGTAAATTCAAAAATTTCAGAGATACAAAAAAAGTAATTTATTTTTATTTTTTTTTTAGAAGACCATCAGCCCACCGGCTCCGCCGACACCGGCTCCGCCAACACCGGCTGAGACATCGGCGCAGCAAAATGCCCCCTCACAAGGGGGCAATACATTCGTATTTAATTTTTATTATAATTTAAAATAAACATACTTTAATTATATAACGTGTTTAGATTTTATCCCGATCTGTCTCGTACAGGCCACATAAATTGAACCATCAAATCTAAAAAAATTATTACTACCATATCTTAGTCCTTATTTCATTTACATTTAAATTTAAAACATGTTACAAAAAAAATTCAATTCTGAACATTTTTTTCCTAGCTTTATTACAACAATGATAAATATCATTGCATCAACTGGCATTAAGTGATCGACCCCGAGAAGAACGTGTCAATATCGAAGTGGCTTTCTTTATTTGAATGACAGGAATTCGTACTATGTCTAGGCACCTATCGCACCCGATCTTTTGGTTTGTAATGTTTATGAATTCCTGACTCGACCTGTCACTGGTCCTGGATAAATGGCTCCGTTCTTAAACATTTGTAACCAACCAAGATGAATGGTGTACCTGTAGGTCACCTGTGACAGGTAAAATTGACAGGTGTACTTGTAGGTGTGTAGCTATACCTTATAAGACTGTGCTTTTGAACGAAATACAGTCGCTCACAAGACATATATCTCCTCAGATATACCTGTAACATTGAACGTTATAGTAGCTATAGGTGTAACTATCAATTCTACTTGTCGCAGGCGATCTGTAAAATCTATCCGTTAAAACAACTCTCGGTTCACCGTTAATTTCAGTTCGTCAAACATGTTTGAGAACGGAGTTATCTACGGTGGAGAATTGGCACGTCGACTCGGTAATTCATTGACATATCCACAAGTCGAAAGGTGGAGTGCGACAGGTGTTTAGACATACTGTTAACAGAACCACTTGCGAAATGTCAACTTTCACCGCAAGCGTCATATCACCTGCGACAGGTAGATGGGTTATTGGTTCATATGGAACTGTTTACACGAGGATACTTTTTCATTAGCCTGCCGCTGCACTAAGAATACGATGCCAGAAAGACATATCACTACAAAACAACAGTTTAGAATGTTCAAAGTTAACAAAGTATATTTGACATGAATTCTATCGACATACAGTATCCCCCTGTAAGAGTTTTCTAATTAGTGTTTAGTTTTAAATCGTACCGCATAACTAAATAATCAAGAGAATAAGCAGTTTTGCGATCTTTTCCAAACTTTGCTTTTCGTAAGTTCCAATTTACAATGTATTACCATGGGTACATTTTTATTTTATTATAATAATTATAGGTTAGGTATTAAATTTTTATAAAATTTGCCCTTAGACAGTCGACAATTTGCCAAAGAAGATTATATTTATAATGAACAAATTTTATACTACCTTATATACAGGGCGTGTTACAACAAAATATACAAATTGGTTTAATAATATTGGTAACGCCAACGCTAATTGATCATCTAGAGAAGATAATTAATAGCAATTGTAAAAGTTTGTAATATGAGGTGTGATCGTTATATTTGGGTGGCTTACGCGAAACGTAAAAAGGTAAACGAGACGCGTATTTTTACGGTAAAACTGGCTTACTTCCTTCATCCATCGATGCTACAATTTAAAGTTATGCTATTTTGATATGTTATAGATCTATAAATAAAATTCGCAATGAATATGTGGATAGCGATCAACTTAACTTAAAAAACCTTCCCCGTAATTCGTTGATGATCCTTGGGTTGTAACAATTAACGTTCAAAAAATAAGTTAAAGGTTACCCGATTTCAAATTTAATTACCATGGATTTTATGCGGAGATGTACTTGATCGGCTTTATGGTTCAGTGGTAGAGCATTGTACTATAAAACCGGAGGTCGGGCGTTCGAATTTGGATTAAGGTGAATTTTTCATCTGTGGCAAGAGATGAGAATTACCTTAGACCAGTTGCATTTTGCCGGCTATTCCGAATCAGGTTTTCCTAATTCGTAAGGTAAATACTGCAGTAGTATAGAACAACTTAAGACCTTCTGCACAGGACCTCTAAAAAGCATTATGCAGGTCACTCTGTAATTGGGCGCAAGCCTTTCGAGAGCCCAAAACAAAAGAGGGATAATAAATAAATAAATTTATTCGAATTTACAATTTATTATCATATAGGTACCTACTACGAAAGTACCTATACACATTTGTTGAATATAACTTTTGATAATCTCACATTCGAAAAAGTTCAAATATTGATATATACGCTTTTAAAATTCAAATTGAATAATAATAATAATGTTTATTGTCCCAACAGATAGAAGCTTTCAAAAAGAACAAAATTATATAGCTACAGCTCAAGTGAATGCAATATAAATAAACGTTGCCGTTAACATAATGATCGAAAAATAAAATCGATTTGCCTCTAAGCTACACAAAGCAATATTAGATTCGAATGAAATTGAATAATACCCAAAAATAAAAATTATTTTGCCGTGAGGCTACATAAATGATGCGGAAAATTATATTTACAACAGCATCAACAACATATGAAAATAATGATAAATTAATTACATTTAACAATAGCTTTAAGTTAGTAATACAGATATTAATAAAAATCACATGTTATAAAATGAAGAATTTTTTTAAGAGTTTGTTCGACATTGAGATAGGTAAATGAAAAGTTAACTACATGCCTAGATGACAGACGTGGAACAAAAAATGTTATACAATTGTACAAACATGTAAAGTCAATATTATTTTGCAATAAAAATTACATAGAAAAGCAACACTTATACACTTCCTGCTTGTACTTAAGGATGCAAATTGAAATTTTTTCAACAGAATGTCATTTGCGTAATCTCTCACCGGGTAAAAGCGCTAACTTAAGTATTTGAAGCGAGACGGTTGAAATTAGTTAGGTGATGAATCTACAAAAAAAAATGAAAATTACTACAAATGAAAAAAGTAGGTACCTTCTTTTTTTACCTGATGTTCCCAACGGCATGCCATGCAATACTTTGACAGGCGAATGCACAGCAATTCGACTCAATTAAAAAGAAGAATCGGAAGAACGAATAAGCAGAAACTAAATGATTTGATAATACAGGATTATTACAGATAGATGATGTTATCGATTTCGATTGAAAATAAAAATGGATTGGTATGTTTATAATATACTAAATATTTTTCCTAAGAATGTATCTATCTTATTTCTTTGTATGATAAATAAAACTAGATTAATGCACGCTTGCAATTATCAACATTATTTGTAATAACCCTGTATAACGTATTTCAAAAGGCGAATCGTCTTCAATTGCCATCATAAATCTGAAACGATTATTACGTACCACGGCTTTTCGATCCTTAAATAGTAAAGTCAGGCAAGTACTCGATTTTCATTTTTAATTTCGTTATTTGTACTACCGATTCGGTGAAAATTTTATCGTGAGCTTTTTAAGCGATTTCGCATCGATTCTGAGAATTTGGGACCTGGGAAATTCTCCTGAGCGGCTGGGGAGCATCGTCGTCGAGGTGCGCGGGCGCGGATAAAAATTCGCCGTAGCCATACGGTCGGGGTTAGGGCGTCGTGGCGCCGGCGCGGGGGGGTAGGGGTAGTTGGGGCAACTTTCGGTGGGGTTAAGAAAATTCCCCCGGCAACCTACGGGGTAGCTGCCATAAGAAGCGAAAAAATTGAAAATTTTAGAAAAAAATTCGTAACTCGAAAACGGCGCCGGAACTTCGATTCGCGCTTTCTGAGCCGTCGCGCGACGTGGAGGAGCGTCTTTTTGCAGCGGTGCCATTAAAAGTGACACCCCGGTGCGGAAACGGCGCGACCCGGAGGGTCGCTCTCGAAAAGGTGGTTTTTCGCATTTTCCAACTTTGACGCCTTCTACGGGCCGAACGGTTAGAGTTAGAGCAAAACGTATAATTGCGCGTTTGTAGATCTCGACGAGATCTACGAGACGAGGGGTCGCGGGTCGCCCTACCACCCCCCGGAGGGGGGTGAGAGGTGAAAAACCGGAGTTTTTGAATAGCGCGTTCCGGCGAAGAGATACGGCGTCGGAATAGGCTTCGATACCTGCGGGCAAGTTTTCTCTTTCTTTTTCCGTTTACCTCGAGGAGGTAACTCGGACGACGGCGCCGTGGTAAATTTTCTCCCGAAGGTCTGCAAAAGTCACGTGACCGCTTCGTTTTGTTTTTCGCCTACATTAAGCGCCGAAGATTGCCGAACGCGCGCTAACCGCTTTTTAATTAATTGCGAGCTTAATTTTGGACGGAGAATTTCGGTAGAGGTCTCAAAAATTCGAGAAAACTACGAGGAACGTGTTAACATCGGTTTCGGAACGGTGCGTGATCGATTTGTGTTCGAAATTATGCGATAAAATTTAAGTGTCGGTTAACTGTCAAACGGATTCCGTCAAGTTTTAAAAGTGTTTTTTAAAGGAAATTAACGTATTAAAATGAACGGTAAGTGTTCGAAATTGATTATTATAAAGTTTAAAAGTGCTTCGAATAAGTGTGGAGTAAATAAAGTGTGTTTAAATAATTTGCTAATTTACGTATTCTCGTCGTACTTATAGTGGTTTAAAAGAAGTATTAATGAAAGTCCCGGTAGCTTAGCGGTAAGCAGTTAGGACTTGGAATTTGAAGATCGCGCGTTCGAACCCGAGCGCGTGCCCGTTTTTTTTTCTTTTATGTGATCATTTTTTTTTGTATTAATTATAATTATAATGTTACAATGGGAAAGTTGCTGCTGAAGATTTAATTTATACGTAGGGAATTGCATTTTGGCCATATCTTGAAATTTGAAGCCGTTAGATAGGTTTTTAAGTTAAGGCTGTCGTAGACGCGTAAGTTTTTCGATTATAATTTTTTTAAGAGACTTGCCAGACGGGTACGTTCAATGGGAAATATTTAGCTCGAATTATTAGCTATCGTACGCACCGCTCCCCGTCCGAATCGATCGAAAAATAAAGATCCTGGAAATTTTTTTGTAAAAAAAAACCGTTAGTTCGCGTATTTACCAAGTTTCTTTTATAATTTTTAAACGGTGCTTTGTAGGTCTGTACTTACAATGGAAAAAAGTTAGCCTATTTATTTCTCTATTGGAGACGCCCGATCGGAAGACGCTTGGGATTG